GAATCAGCTGCGTCGAAGTTGATATTTCCGGAAGTCCACGACCGCTTTCGGATCTTTTCTTTTTTGCCAGCTAGATCCGCAATCACTGGCGAGTCCCGTTTTTTGGCTTCTGATTGGCCGAAGGATTTCCGCCACTATTGCGTGCCCGATACTCAGCGCGTGCGACTTTCATTTTGTTGTAGTCGAAGATTCGATGACCCAGCACCCCGTAAAAATCACACGTGAAGTTGGTGTTTTTCGGACGTGGCCGCCCTTCAAACCTGTCGACTTCCATCGGGTCGGCGAACGTGGGGTGAGCCGAGCGGTCGCCCTGCCGCGTACTGCTGACGTGCGCCCGTCGTGTTCCGGCGTTGACCATGTCGAAGCGTTCCGCTGCCGAAACGACGTCACTGTAGCTCGCGTAGTTTGACGCTGCACTTGTTGTTTGACTTCGGTGTTCAGCCCGGCGAGGTACGACTGCACTTTTTCCCCTTCGGTCAGGTCGGGAATGCGGTTATAAAATTCCTCCATCTGCTGCGTGTACTGCGCTACACTCCCGAACTGTCGATGGCGATGATTTTTTTCCCGGGCGAGGGAAACCCGAATTTATCGGCTCAAAACGTTTCAGTAGGTCGGTGCGGAACTGCTGCCACGTGGCTTCGCCGTGGATGAACGTGCTGTTACCGCCGATCCACTTGAGTGCCGGTCCTTGCATCAGCGTCGCTGCGAGTTGTACGCGTTGACCGTCCCAGACTAGCGAGCTCTATCCGACGGCTGCGAAGTAGATCTCCATCCCGGCGATCTATCTGCGAGCGTCGGAGTTTCGATCGCTCGGATCGAACGGCTCAGGTGGGAACGGTTTCGGAGCCTCGAGAAATCGCTGCGATTGCTGCGTTGTTGCCGTTGTCGAGTCGTGCTGCGCTCTGGCGAGTCGAGTTACTCGCTCGAACTCGTTTTGCCACGCTTCGCGGTCGGCTCGCATCTCCTCCTGAAGGCTGCGATGCGCGCGAAGAGCTGCTGGGTAACCTCGACGTTGTCGAAATTTGCCATCCTGTTCAAAACACGCGTGGGGGGGGGGGGGGGGGGTAATTCGAAAAAGCTTGGAGCTGGTGCTTACCAGAATCGGCATCGAATTGGTCACCTCCGGCGGTTTTTCGAGGCAGGAGTCCCGCTGCGGCTGCTTAGCTGAGCGCGGCCGAGTAGAAAAGCTCTGATTACCAAGTGTCACAGGATAGAATGTGTCGAGAAAATGTTGCCCTATTGTTCAGTACAAGGCGCTTTTATACTTCCAAAGTACATCAGGTAACCAGGTTTATCTTATCCCAATGGAATAGACCCTTCTAGAAAATAGAATCACCCTGCGTATAGCCACGCGAGGCTAGTGGCTTTATGGGATTACGACAAGATTACGCTAGATATAGCGCGCCAGTACACCCCGAGCCTGGTCTGTGATATAACGATAAGAATAGGATAAACCAAAGGTTTATGGAAAAGGAGAAAAAGGAATCTAAATGGATCAGGATAAAAAGAGGAATAAAATGGAAAGGGAATATGGAAAGGAGAAGAGAATGGAACGGGTCGTACTCTCACATTCCCTACCTCTTCTTCTCCTCCCCCCATCCACCCCTTTTCCCAACTCCTCCCACGCTCTCTCTGTCCCTCACCTCGTTAATTTGCATGTATATACATGCTGATGGAAAAAAAAAGGAAAAAAAAAACTCCTAACTGCCTTTCAACCTCCCTCCACCCAAGCCTGCTAGATGAGTGCCAACGACACCATGTCAAGCCTTCCAGCAGGTTCTCCGACATGCCCAAGGGAATGCAAGGAAGCCCAGCAAAAGGTTCTTTTGAGACACTCCAACTCCAGAGCAACTGCAGGAGGAGATCCTCTCAGAGCTCTCTAGAAACCCATCCCCCGAGTCAGCACTGAAGGAACTGTCGCCGGAATTGCGAGCGAAGTTGGAGAAGGCTGGGGTGGGTGCAGGGGGGTGCTTGCTGGCTGGAATGCAGGTTCTGTTGGAGCGGTCAATAAACCAGTTGGGGACGTGGGAGTGCTTGGCGGTGCTGTTGGCCACCGGGTTTGCTGTGAAACTCATTATGCTTGTGCTGTTGGTAAAGCTTCGGAGGGCCGCAGAAATAAAGAAGTGTATTCCAATGTAAAAGTAGAAATAAGTGAGTCCATGCCTGATGCTGGTGAGGTGTAAGTGGAGGAATCAAGGGGGTGGGGTGACATTGCAATTCATCTCCTTGCTTTTGGATGCAGTGACGGGCTTGTAAACATCTTGGGTTGTTGCAATTCGAGCAAGATGTAGAGCAAGTAGGGCGCGATACCGATGTTCTCCGACCTATATTTACTCAAATTAAAAGTTTTGACAGATAGTGAGATAGGCAGCATGCTCATTAGGAGTTTGCTTAAGCATTGAAATAGTAAATGGGATATTGAGTGAATGAAATATGAGGGAATAAGTGCAGAGTTTACTGCTAGAACGGGAGCTTCTGCGGAAGTGCCTGACGCAGATAAAGCTCTCTAGCTCTGTCGTTCTTCTAAGGAGAAAGTTGCCTTCAGAATTGTGTGTTTCACTGAGTAGCTTTTGAGAAAGCTTAGGCACACAAATTCACTGAATCAAGATTACAGAGTATGGTACACAAGGCAAACACTAGTACTACCCCATTGAGCCTCATTGAACACGGCGAGAACGTTCGCACAGAACGTTTACATAACTACTTTAAGCTGCGCTTAGCCAAGTCAGCAATGGCAGGTGAAAATTACAGCACATGTTTAGCTGGTAATTGTTACCACTTAGAAGTAGTTATTCTAACAGTTTCAGATATGAAACTGTCAGATTGTACGCACATTTCCGCAGTTACGAAATGCGCGTCACGTGTTCAATTTCTCAATGTCTCAGGTAGATTTTGCCGTTTTTCGGTCCAGATCGGTTCTGAGGTTAACTTACGAAATCGCGAATTTCTCGCGATTTCGGAACGCACCTTTATCAGAAAAACTAAGTCCTAGTTATTTCTGTCGAAGGGTCGTTCGCAGAAGTGAAGTCCGAGATGAGTCTCTTGCTGCACTTCTGCCGATTTTCGTTTCTGCTGAGGGGGTCGTCACAGAAGAGATAGCCGAATTGCAGAACTGCCGCAGAACGCAATTGTGCGCGAACAGGTTCTTGCGCTACTCACCCGAGGTCCTCTCGGAACGCATTTCCGAGAGTCGTTTCTGCCGAAAGGGTCGCCCGCAGAACTGTCTTCTGCGCGATACTTCTGCAAGGACATCCCTTCTGCGAATGGTCCCTGGTGCCAAATCCGCAGAGGGTCTTGTACACTCTAAATTCTACTGCAACCGCTTCTACAGAATCCCAGAAATCTGTAGAAGCCATATGCAGAAAAAGCGCTCCTGTTCTGCCACTCCGACAGAACCTCTGCCACCAACGAAAACTGCTCTTCTGCCACTTCCCGCAGAGCCTCGCCTTGTCGACAAATCTGCTCTTCGTCGATGGGCCTTTCTGTAGGGCTCGTGTCCGCAGACTTCATTGATACGCTGCTTCCGCAGACTTCTGCAACCTTCGCAGGATCAGGTCTATTCTCAACAATAAGACATGGAGCGAGTGAGTTATAGAGCGAGTGAGATTTGTCTTTCTTAGATGGAATCAAGCATTAAGAGGCATATTACAATGCAAGATATCCTCAGTCGTAACTGTAGTATAGGGCCGTTACAAGCGGTACCCCTACCTCCTCTACGGTGGCTGATGAGTTGTCCTCGGGTCCATCTAGATGCATTGGAAACCACTGTTCCACAACAAAAGCTTCAATCTCGTGTCACATATCCGGCCCATGACTCTCGCCTCTTCATTTGCCAGGTGGCCCAATCTCGTATCACTTCTTGTATGCTGCTTATCCGTTGCACCCCAAAGTTTGATCCTGTTGTAGGCCCTCAATTTCCCATGAAATGCCATCGAGACTTGGCCTATTCCTGACCTGGAACTTCTTCTCTCGGAACACTGCATCACACCTGTCCAACCACAGACGGTGTAAGGTGACCGTCGCCATCGATGCTTCTGGAAACGCTGACCTCGTGCCTGACCGTCACCATCTTGAGCGTGCCGATGACTAGCTGGAGTCTCGGGCATGTGTAAAGATGATCTTCCATTGTCTCTTCTTCCCTACAGTGCAGGCAGTGTCCTTTGTCCCCTAAAAGGCCAACCGCTTCCCCACCTGCAGATTGCAGATGTGCAGCCATAGCAAGATCTCCATGGCCCTGACCAGGGTCACTTTCAAATCCCTCTTTTATCACTCTGCCCCACTTGATCTTCTTGCCCCACTTCTCGTCCCACGTAGTTTGCTGCTTCGGCTTATCCTACCTCGCAGGCAGTGTCTTCTCCTGCGATTTAACTCCCGCAGGGAGCTGTTCCACGCATAGATCTGTGCATCTCATCCTCGTTCTTGGAGCGCTGAGCAGTCCCATCACTCTGCCGTGGATGTATTAACTTCAGTGGTACAGCTTTTGTCGCCTCCACTTCCCTGTTATACCCGGGTTCCTGCTGTTGATATCAACCTGTTCTCATCCATTGCTGCGCTTATGTAGATTAGCATCTCTTGTTCTACCATTGTGATCAACCATAGGGATTTCTCTGCTTCCGGTAGCCTGCCCTTTCGAATCAATATAGTTTCCTTGGTGACCTCCTCTTCTCGTGGCTGTCCCAGTAAGACCTGCCGCCAGCTCTCTGGTGCCGCTGCAGAAGCCTTTTCTACCGCTGCTGCTTTTAATCCCCCTCCCAGCTCCCTCATAAATTGCCACCTATCCTTCTGCACCATGTTGCGAGTGAGATTTGGAGCAAGTGAGACGTGGAGCGAGTGAGACATGGAGTGATTGAGATATGGAGCGAGTGAGATATGGAGTGAGTGATATGTGGAGTGAGCGAGATATGGAGTGAATGAGACATTGAGTGAATGGGATAACGAGTGAATGAGAGGTGTAGCGAATGAGAAGATTTGGAATGAATGAGAAATGGAGTGAATGAGATACGGAGTGAATGCCCCTCCTCGTTCTTCAACTTCTCCTTTTCGTGGTGGCAGGAGAGAGAGCGGAGAGAGAGGGAGAGAGAGAGAGGGATAAAGAGAGAGAGAGAGAGAGAGAGAGAGAGAGAGAGAGAGAGAGAGAGAGAGAGAGAGGGAGAGGGAGAGAGAGAGAGAAGGGGTTGAGAGAGAGAAAACAGAGGGACAGCAAGAGCAGAGAGAGGGGAGAGAGAGATAGAGAGAGAGGGAGAGAGGGAGAGAAAGAAAGAGAGAGAGAGAGAGAGAGAGAGAGAGAGAGAGAGAGAGAGAGAG